AATCCCAGCATTTTGGGTAGCCGAGGTAGGAGGATCACTTAAGCCCAAGAGTTAGAGACCAACCTAGACAACATAGCGAGACCTAAGTCCCTATGAAAATTTAAAAAAAAAAAAAAATGATCCAGGCATGGTGGCACATGCCTATGGTCCCAACTCCTTGGGAGGCTGAGGTGGGAGGATTGCCTAAGCACAGGAGGTTGAGGCTGCAGTGAGCCATGATTATGCTACCGCACTCCAGCTTGGGTGACACAGCAACACCCTGACTCAAAAATTAATAAAAATAGGCTGGGCACAGTGGCTTACACCTAAAATCCAGTAGTTTGGGAGCCTGAGCCCAGGAGTTTGAGACCTATCTGGGCAACATGGTAAGACCTCATCTCTACAACAAATCAGAAGTTAGCTGGAAAAGTATGCCTGTAATCCCAGCTACTCAGGAGGCTGGGACAGAAGGATCACCTGAGCCCAGGAGGTTGAGGCTGAGGTGAGCTGTGATCATGTCACTTCACTCCAGCCTGAGAGACAGAGACTCTGTCTCAAAATCATCATCATCATCATCTTCTTCTTCACCATCTAATTTCTGATTCACTGAATTATTCCCATTAATTTATTAAGGTACATTGCCTGCTTCTGCAAGGGCATGTTACATTTGCCCAAGTCTATAATCAGTTTTCCAATTTCAACAAATAGCTTAGAAGTCTGTGGGGAGAAAAAAGACACCTGAGCATGAAGTGATTTTGTGGGGAGAAATTAGAGAAATAGATCAATAACACGAAACACAGCTTCAAGGGGACTGTGTGGATTTGAAAAAAGCACAAAGAGCCGGGCTCGGTGGCTCAGCCTGTAATTCAGCGCTTTGGGAGGCTGAGGTGAATGGATTGCCTGAGCCTGCGGGTTCAAGACCCGCCTGGGCAACTTGGCGAGACCTCATCTCTACAATAAGTCAAAAAGAAAAATTAGCTGGGTGTGGTAGTGCGCGCCTGTAGTTCCGGCTACTCGGAAGGCTGAGGCGGAAGGCTCGCCGGAGCCCAGCGGGTCGAGGCTGCAGTGGCCCGGAGCGGCCACTGCACTCCAGTCTGGGTGACAGAGTGAGACTCCAACTCAAAAAAAAAAACAAAAAAGGCACACAGAAGAGTGCATTGAAATACTCTTCAGTATCCTCTAGGATTTCATTCAGAAATAGGTCTGAGGAGGATTTGTTCAGTCAGAAGAAATCTAGGTTATTAGAAGACACCTGAGTAGTGAAGACACTTATTCAGTTCCTCTTGAAGACATTGGAGATACAAAGGTGGCCAACACATACCACAGAATGACATCTGTGTGAAGATCCCAACAACCCTGAGAGGAAAATGCAATTCTGGACTCACTAAACTCTCCAAGGAAGGTACGCAGTAAGTGCTGCTGAAGAACAGGGAAGTATACAGGAAAGAGGCCATAATGACTTCAGTCATGGCGCTGATTTTCAGTGGAGTGAGGATGAGTTCAGATGCCTCCAGAGACTATCTCTTGGTTTACCTACTAGGAACATTTTATTTATATTTTAATTATAAATTTATTCTCAACAGATTCACATAAAGATTCTGAACCAGCATTCCCCGCTTAACTTAGTAATTGTGTCATCAACGCAGAACAAGATGGCTACATCTAGCTACGTTTACCTCACTGGAGTTACTGGAGTTCTGAGGTAGCTGAGTTCCAGAAAATCCATGGCTGCCACTTGAGTCAAACATCTGACAGACAGGAGGGAAAAAAAGACTGATGAGATGGCTCTGCAATGCTCATTTGCCAGCTACCCTTTTTCAGTATTTAAAAAGTGAAGTTCTATAATATTTTATAAGAACTTTATAATTTGTACTAGCTACTATTCAATTAAAGTTTTAACTTTGAAGAAAAAGTTGTTTTTTCTTCCCATCTGGTTACATGTTTTACCCTTTCTATTATGTCATATAGGATTCAAATCACCCTGTATCTTCTTGATGTTGCTTTTAACCAAAAGAACATATATCTGAAGATGTGAAACAGAACTCAAAGTTGAGTTGGCAAAGCCATCAACGTCAATCTTATAACTAATTTTTTAATCTTGGAAGAAAATATAACTAAATGCTAAAAGTGGCTGTGCTTGGGTAGAGAGTCTAAAAATAACTTTCTTTACTTTTCCAAATTTGACCTTTTAAATTCTGTAGCAGAATAATTAAAATTCAAAATCATTTAAGCTGGGCTCAGTGGCTCAGCCCAGCACTTTGGGAGGCTGAGGCAAGTGAATTGCCTGAACCCGTGAGTTCGAGACCAGCCCAGGCAACTTGGTGAGAGCTCCTCTCTCTCTACAATAAATAAACAATTAGTCGGGCATGGTAGCACACACCTGTAGTTCTGGCTACTTGGAAGGCTGAGGCGGAAGGATCGCCAGAGCCCAGCAGGTCGATGCTGGGGTGACCATGAGTGTGCCACTGCACTCCAGCCTAGGCAACGGAGTGAAGCTCCGATTCAAAAATAAAAATAAAAATAAGACCATTTAAACATTTAGGGGTACCAACTAAACCAATTCATTCAGTTCTATAAATACTGATGCTATAATTCGCTTCCTATCTTTTTAAAACAAAAAATGTTTGGTCAAATGTTTTTGTTTATTAAGAAATCTTATAGCCAGGCTCGGTGGCTCAGCCTGTAATCCCGCGCCTTTGGGAGGCTGAAGTGAGTGGATTGCCTGAGCCCGCGGGCTCGAGACCCGCCTGGGCAGCGAGACCTCATCTCTACAATAAATCAAAAAAATCAGCCGGGCGTGGTAGCGCATGCCTGTAATTCCGGCTACTTGGAAGACTGAGGTGGAAGGATCACCGGAGTCCAGCAGGTGGAGGCTGCAGTGGCTGGGAGCGGCCATGGCACTCCAGTCTGGGCAACAGAGTGAGACACCAACTCAAAAAGAAAAGAAATCTCATGTTGAGAACATTTATCACATATGCTGGGTAAAGACCATATTGGGCTCATCTCTAATTAGCTGAATGTCTATATCTAAGAAAACTAAGCAAGTTATCAAAGTTATTTATCATTATCATTTAATTATGTAGAATGGACTGTCTTGATTAAAATGCCTTAAGGACATTAGTTAACCATCATGAAAGTTCAACTCGAAAAATACAGGTGCAGCATTAACCAGGGGTTTATAGTTGACTATAATCAATAATGAAGAAACATGTCTGCATTTATAACCAACAAATAATAATTCTTTTTTTTTCTTTTTGAGTCGGAGTCTCACTCTTGCACCCAGGCTAGAGTGCAGTGGCACATTCACAGCCACCACAGCCTCGACCTGCTGGACTCAGACAGTCCTTCCACCTCTGCCTTCCAAGTTTCTGAAACCACCACACCCAGCTAATTTTTTTGATTTATTGTGGAGACGAGATCTCGCTATGTTGCCCAGCCTGGTCTCAAACCTGTGGGCTCAAGCAGTCCTCTCGCCTCAGTCTCCCAAAGTGCTGGAATTACAGGTGTGAGCCACTACGCCAGGCTAATAATTATTTTTACAATTAAATTACAAGTAGAATACAATTTTAAGATGTGATATTCTTTCTGTATATGAGTATACAAAAACAGTGGCCAAATAAAAGAGATTTCCGGCGATTCTGCTTTTCTTTCTTTCTTTCTTTCCTTCTTTTCTTCCCTTCTTATTTAGTGTCTCACTCTTTTTGCCCAGGCTGGAGTACAGTGGGGCATGATCACACCTACTGCAGCCCTGACCCTCAGCTCAGACTAATCCTCCACCTCAGCCTACTGAGTAGCTGGAACTACAGGCACACGACATCATGGCTGGCTAATTTTTTTTATTTCTGTAGAGACAAGTCTTGCTATGTTGCCTAAGCTGGTCTCGAACTCCTGGGTTCAAGTGATCCTCTCGCCTCAGCTTCCCCAAATGCTGGGATTACAGGTATGAGCTACCGTGCCCAGTCGATTCTACCATCTTTCAATCAATCAACTCTCTCCCCACAGCTTCCACCTTTATTGTTTCAAGGTTTAAAACAGATAAAATAAATTGATACTGGTCCCTTCACTCACCTAATTCACAAAAGTATTACACACAATCAAATAAATAGCCATATACACACATGAGAAAATAAAATTCCAATAAAATATGAATCTTACAAGAACCTCTTCAGTCTTAATGACAAACCTTTTCCCTATCCACCTATACAATCAGATCATGATATAACATAACCCATCTTTTCAACAGCCTGAAAAAGGATACTCCTAAGATATATCAATCAGCAGGACAAAACCCATTATCCCACACTCTACTATAAGTATCATGAGATACAGGTACTTCAGATATGCACAGTCAAAAAGTCCTGAGGACAATGCACTGTACTTGGGTCACACTTCAGCAATGCACACTCAGGTTGTTTTATCTGGCAACAGTTAAAAGAGTCACTGCTCCTCAAGGGAGCAACTGACCAGTGTTTCAGGGCTTTGGACTGAGGCAGGGACCAGCACCTGGCCTGTCCCTCCAACACTGGTGAACAGGAGTAAGGTCAGTGACTGACCGTCTCCACGTTTCAGTCTCCTCATCTGTAAAATGGGTTGATGAAACACCCGCCTCGCATTGTAAGGATCGAGTGAGCAAATTCTCCAGAACTATCAACAGAACTGAGCTGCTGCTACTCTGATTACTATTAATTTTCTGCATTTATGTTCATCTAAAATCTACAGGAAATAACTGTCAGTACTAAAAATGAGGGAAAGGGTGGATTATTTTCTGATGATGCTTATTTTTCCTGTTCCTAGGACTGAACATAGGTGTGAATACCTTTTTGAGTGTGCCAAAACAGACTGAGCAACTTATGTATTTTCATTTGGGGAAAAAAGTTCCATGCTAAGACTAGATGCCTTTGGGTCGACTTTTATTTCATTCTTAACCGAAGATGAACATTGATGATTTGCGGCAGGTTGGAGACCAGGGGCTTCAGGAATCTCCCTGTAGCCTGCTCTTCCTCCCTGGCTGAGGAGCTCACCTGAGTTATGGAAGGTCTTTTCTCCTTCCCCTTTCTGGCCAGGGTGTCCAGCCCTTTTAATGAAGAAAATATGCCCTTCTTGTTTCTTCCTCGCTGGGTCAGTGACAGTGTTCTTTTCCGGAGAGCTGAGTCATCTCGAGAACACACCTGATTTAAAACACAGTTTGGACTATCTGAAAGCTTAGTATTTGAGTGATAGAGAGAATTAACAGTTGCCCTGAAGAAGTAAGCTCCATGAGTGCATCTGACCATCGCTGAAAGCTGGTGCTCGTCTGACACACCAGGAATGCATCCGCCACATGGATAGCTCTTGTCTGGATAACACGAGCAGTGACCACATCCAGATCTCTCCATGGTGGGCAGTAGGGCTGGCTAACCACCCAGGGACCCCTCAGCTGGGTTGGCACAATACACAGAAGCCACCAAAACAGGAAGGATTCCAGAAAACCCAATGGGGCTCTCTGCAGTGCAGAAAGACAACATGTAACCCATCCTTGGATTCTTCACACCTTTGTTGCTACTCAGGAATCCCACCTCCCTGATGATACACGGGGGAAAGACGGCAAGGCAGACACAGGAATGTGCCCACTAGCAGCTGGATGCCAGATCAAGCAGGAGAGACTAGGGACTCTCCAGCAGGATGCCTCCTCCCCTGCATCCCCAGCCCCCTGGGTCCCTGAATGACCTCGTCAGTGACTGGGTTAAGCCCCAGAAGAGCCGACAGCACAAAGAAGTAGAAGGGGGCCCACCACTGTCCTCCCTGAATACTGCAAACAGCCCCCAAGGGAACCTACCAGCGCATGAAAAGAAGAAACAGACAGGACGCCCAGCCTGCCGAGGGCCAGCTTGGATGGGCGGCTGGCGGCAGCCAGCAGGCTCTTGGGGTTTGGGAGCTCCCCACCCTGCAGGCTGGCCAGGTAGCAGCGCATCCTGAACAGGTCCATGTGGAACTTCTCCAGATTCTGCTCCCACTGCTGGATCTGCAAGCAAGAACAGAAGTCATTTAAATGGAAATTAGCTGGGCACCGTGGCTCATGCCTGTAATCCCAGCACTTTGGGAGGCAGAGGCGGGAGGATTGCCTGAGCCCAGGAGTTTCAGACCAGCCTGGGTAACACAGTGAGACCTCGTTTTTACGAAAAATAAGAAAAGTAGTCAGGCATGTTGGCGCACACCTGTAGTTCCAGCTACTTGGAAGGCTGAGGTGGAAGGATCATCTGAACCTAGGAGGTAGAGGCTGCAGTAGCTGTGACTGTGTCACTGCAGTCCGGCCTGGGCGACAGTGAGATTTCAACTCAAAGGGGGGGAAAAAAAGGAAATTAAAGTTTTCATGGGTCAAAATGAAAATATGATCCTTTCACAAACTTATAGGAAAACTTAATTTCAGCTGGTTTGCATGGTTTAAATGAGCTTTTCCTGCTCACCCTGTCTCAAACCCTCCACTAAGATGCATTGGGTCAGACCAGGACAGACAAAACCCAAAAAAAAACTCGTGGCTCCAAGGACCCAAGAGAGTGACAGGCCAGGATGGAATGATCTTCAGAGAATTTCAACACTCTTGGCCATCCTGACTTAAAATGGGGTGCAAACTACAAATCAGCCTTTTTCCTTTCTTTCATTTCTCTTCACATGTACAGCTTTTGATCCTAAACTGGATTAACCAAATTGCATACAAACAGAAGCTGAATCAATAAAGGAGAAGACTTTATGTTTCTGTTCAGTCTGAGTAAATGACTCAAAACATTAAGACGTAAATGGACTTCGGGGTAAGGACTAAGAGAGCTTTTACTCCCATTTTAGCCCTTTGCATTTGGATGCCCCCTCTGAGGGGACATAAAGAGATTGCTGGTGATTATACAGGACAAACTTATGCCAGTGAAAACTTTTCAAACTTGTATGCTTCCTTGAAGTTTGCCATTCAAATTGTATGAAAAAGCAAATAAAGAGATGGGATATATACTGAGATTCACATTTTTAAAAAATTCACTGGCATTACATAGAAAAGGAATGTATGAAGTATTTTCACAGGGATGCCCACAAGTTCCCAATGCAGCAAGATATTGCCTGTTTACCAACAGATACTACACAAGTATTGCCCTAGCAGAAGAGCTACTAAAGATGAAATGTCATCTTACTGGTACAAAGTCAACAAAAAGGGAATACCGCACAAATTAAAAAAAAAACAGTTATTAATGAAAGAAAAAAAAAACAGTAACCTATAGGAAAAATAATCTTATGCTTCTTTCATGGAAGGACAAAAGGATCGTTACAATTCTCAGCACTTGGAATCATACAAGAATGAAATCTATGACAAGGACATTACGTGGTAGAAATATTATATCAAAGAGCCTGATATGATTCTAAATTATTTTGCAAATATGAGCAGTGTGAATCATACAGATCAATATGCTTCTACATAATGTTTTCTGTGAAAATCTTTAAAATAGTGGAGGAAATTATTCTTCTGAGGACTAAATATATCCATTATTAACTCCTATATACTAAGCACCAAAAACAACAACAACAACAAAAAACCTAAGTTTCATTTGAAGTTTGTCAAGCTTCCAACTGATCAGTTGAGAAGTGGTTTTCAGGAATCATGAGTGCATCCTTCCACATCCTCTTCGAACAACAGACTGGACAAAAAATTGCATATTATTAATGTGGAAGGAAGACAATGAGACTGCATTGTCTGCTTGAATAGAAAAATACCAGGTGGAAGACGTCAAACAAATTACTATTGCACAACATGTATCAATGATCCTGTAATGCACGTTGGTGATTGTTTCATGCGTTATTCACATGTTAGACAAATATAAGATATAAAATTTTGGGGTTTTTTTCCATAAGAAGTTCCTCAATGTCCAAAATTCCATTATTAGCCAAAAATCATATGAAAATAATTGGTTCCCAACCATGCTGTCTACTGAAACTAGACTGGATAAAAAAAATGTGGTATATACACATGATGAAATATTACTCAGCCATAAAGAAGGACAAACATATGGACTTCGCAGCAACTTGGATGGATTCAGAGTCTATCATACTCAGTGCTCTATCACAGAAACAAAGAACTGACTACCACATGTTCTCACGCATAAGCGAACCCTGAACATTTACCATAATACTATAAGAAAGGTATTGGCAGTAGTGGGATACTGCCAGGGGGTGGGAGGGGGGCACAACATCAGTAAGGTAACTGAGCTCAACCCAAGTGAAGTGGGGACCAAAGGGAGGCCCAAACTCTACCTGTACAATGACCACCTGTATATCTAATCCTGAACTGTACCCCAGATCATTACAATTTTTTAAATAAAAAAAATTGGTTCTAACACTATACTATTTAACATGAAGTGTGGTCGAATTGCTGGTAGGCGATCCGCAAGACATTTCCGGGTACAATGGGTTAAGTATCTTGGTGAATCACCACCATCTATACATCTGAATAAAATTAAAGTATACACAGTTATTTATACAACAGAAATTCCTGCGTACATCTTCAAAACTGAAGTCATGAGTAGGTAAATAAATACAGCCAAACCCTGGGAGCTACACTCCTGTCTTCCGAAAACGTCAACATGTATTACCTACAAGCATGACCTTCATTTAAAGGTGAATTAATAAGTCAAGAAAGGCTCTTGTAACTTGCCAATACAGGGAGTCAACAGGAGAATAGAAAGCTGCGATTCAAGAAATCCTGACCACGACCTCAAACTCCAAGAGAAGGTCTACAGCCAAGACTTGTCATGGAGGATTCCGTGCAAGAGTTACGTTCCTTCATGAGCAACAACCGCGCCTCTAGCTCTGCCCTGCTGTTGAGCACCCAACAGACCCCTGCCTTCCACACTAAGCTTTCTAGATTAATCCTTCATTCTGGATCAATGATATTCTGAAGGATCTTTCAAGCACTATTTGATATATGCATGTGACTACATATCAAAACAGCACTGATGGATAAAGACAGTTCCATTCTAAATGATGCACAAGGAATCTTAACATTTTTGCCAGAAACATTTCAATTATCTTTAGCATTCACAGATCTCTCCACTCAAGGGCTGGGACAAAATATGAGTGAAGTCATGGGAAGAACATGGACCCAGATGCTTAGGTTTGTTGGAGGAAAGAAGGAGGCTGGGAGACCCCAATAGCCCAAAGAGTAGCTTACAAAAATCAAGACATTTGCTAATGTATCTGTTTAAGTTTAAAGTGTATTAGTATCTCAATTAACAGTGCACATTGTAGAGGTCGTTTAAAACTTGATTTAGTAGAACATGCAAAGGAAAAGTGACCTTATGACTTCTCTATTTCAACAATGCTCGTTGTCCTTATCCTGATCAGAGCCTTTGTGATGGCTAATTTTATGTCAACTTGCCTGGGCCATGGGGTGCCCAGATATTTAGTCAAACATTATTCTGAGCTGGGCATGGTGGCTCACACTTGTAATCCCAGTACTCTGAAAGGCTGAGGCAGGAGAATTACACAAGCCCAGGAGTTTGAGACCAGCCTAGGCAACATAGCGAGACCTTGTCTCTACAAAAAAATCAAAAGATTAGCCCGATGCTGTGGTACGTGCCTGTAGTCCCAGCTACTTGGGAGGCTGTAGCGGAAAGATTGCCTGAGTCTAGGAGGTCGAGTCTGTGGTGAGCAGTGATTGTGCCACTGCACTCCAGACTGAATGACAGAATGAAACTCCAACTCAAAAACAAAACAAAAATATTATTCTGGAAGTGCCTGTAAGGATGTTTTTGGATGAGATCAACATTAAAGTGGGTAGACTGAGTAAAGCAGTTTCCCTCCCTAATGTGCGTCGGCCTCACCCAATTGGTTGAAAGACTGAATAGAAGAAAAAGGCTGGCATCCTTCCTCGAGTAAGAGAGAACTCCTCCTGCCTGACCTTCTTCAAACTGGGACATGGGCTCTTCTTGGCTCTGGATTTGAGCTGAAACATTGGCTCTTTCTGGGTCTTTTTTATTATTTATTTTAGAGTTGCAGGGTACAAATGGGGATTTACTACATAATTAAGTTGTAGGCAGGTAAAGTTTGGGCTTGTAGCTGGCCCTCTCTCCCCCATAGTGGACCTGGTACCCAGTGTGCTGCCCCATATGCCCCTCCCTCCTCCTTCCCTTTACCCCAGCAGTGTCTGGCATTTGCCAATTCAGTTCTTTGTTTCTTTGACAGTTCACTTAGTAGGATGGTCTCCAGCTATATCCATGTTACTGGGAAGGCCATGATTTTCCTCTTCTTTACAGTTCTGTAACATTCCATTGTGTATATGTACCACATTTTCTTTATCCAGTCCATTTTCTTTTCTTTTTTTTTTTGAATTGGAGTCTCACTCAGTCGCCCAGGCTGGAGTACAGGGCACACTCACGGCAACCCAGCATTGACCCGCTGGGCTCCGGTGATCCTTCTGCCTCTGCCTTCCAAGTAGCTGAAACTATAGGTGCACGCTACCACGCTTGGCTAAATTTTTTTTTTTTTTATTTTATAGTAGAGATGAGGTCTCACCAAGTTGCCCAGGTTGGTCTCGAACCCACGGGCTCAGGTAACCTACTCGCCTCTGCCTCCCAAAGTGCTGGGATTACAGGCTGAGTCACTTAGCCCAGCCTACCTAGTCTACTTTCAAAGGGCATCTGGGTTGATTCCATGTTTCTGCTATTGTGATTAGTGCTGCAATGAACATATGTGTGCATGTATCATTTTGGTAGAGCAATTTATGTTCCTTCAAGTATGTGCCCAGAAGAGGGATTGCTGGATTGTATGGAAACTCAGTTTTTAGTTCTTTTAGAAATCGCCACACTCTTTGATTTTGACAAAGGTTGAACTAGTTTACCCTCCCACCACCAGTATAGAAGCATTCCTTTTTTCCACAGCCACACCAGCACCTTTTTTTTGTTTTTGTTTTTTTTACTTTTTAATGATAGCCATCCTTACAGGTGTTAGGTGGTATCTCATTGTGGTTTTGATTTGTATTTTCTGCTG